GTTGGGGGAAGAGGAGGCGGGGATTCCAGCTTCCAGCCACATGGCTGCCAACACTTGGCAGCCATGTTGAAGTCAGATCTAGCTACCAGCACCTGGCAGCCATCTGGGAAACTCTGATCCCTGCCCAGGAGCCGTGTGCCCAGCACAGGGGCAGCATGTAACAGCTCCCTTGTTGCCTGCCTTGCTTCCCTGCACCAGGGCTGCTCCATCCCCTTCCCCTGCCCACAATGCACAGTGCTCTACTGCTCCAGCCTGTCCCCTGCCAGTAACAACCAGTGCCCATGCTCCTGCTGGCCATGGTGGTGGCCTTGCTGGCCCCAGCCCCCTCCCCGCAGGCCCCAGGACAGCTGCATACCTGCCAGCAGGGGCCAGGGTACTGGCTGTGGGAGGCTCTGCCCAACCCCCTCCTTCTGCACTCCCTCTTCCATCCAGCCTGCCTCACCACCCACCCCCAACACCACTCTCAGGACACGCACGTGGGTGAAACAAAAAAACGTATTACCCTCACAGCACCCACCCCCTCCCCCACCAACCAAAAAAACTCGCTTACAAGTGCGAAAGTATATACAAGGGGAAAACTATATATAGAGGCAGTTGCACAATAGCTCAAAGTAAAGTCTTACTCCTGCATAGTGGATGGGTGTGTGTGTGGGGAGGGGTAGGTACGCATGTGTTTGGGAAGCTACTCATGCACTAGATCCCAGGGAGCAGGTCGGGGTGGGGGTTGGGGGAGGGGGCAGGGACAGTTCAGGCAGCAGAGCTCACTTGAGTAGTGCAGTGCAGTGCAGATGCAGTCCATCCTCCCTCCATCCCATCTGCCCTGCAGCTGCCCCCACAGCACTCGGCATGGGGCTGAGCCCCACTGCTTCCATCCAGAGCAGCCCACACTGTGCTCCCACCCGCACTCGCCAATAGCCCCAGCCCGGGCCAGCGTGCACAGCTTCCCAGTGGGGCTGCTCTTGCTAATGCTGCAGTTGACTCAATGCTGCTTGGCTCCCCCTACCTCCAGTGACTCCTCTTCCTCCTGCTGCCCCTGTTGCAGTGCTCTAGGCAGCAGGCAGCATGGAGACATGGGCCAGGCACCTCAAGCCCAGCCAGGCAGGGCGGGTTGGGGGGAGCAGGGGGCCACAGCTGGGTGGCTTCTGCCTCAACATGCAGGGCTCCAGCTTCCAACCACTCAGCCACCCATAAATGGATGCTCATCACACCAGGTGGGTGGAGTGGGTGAAAGGTGGCTGGGAGCTGGAACTGGAGTGGGAGTAGGTGGGAGTGCAGCATGGGATGCCCTGGGCAGGAGTGGGCAGGGCTCAGCCCCATTCTAAGTGCTGAGGGGGCAGTGGAGGGCTGGATACAATCGATCATCAGGTCATATTTTGCCACATCTGGTGTAGACTATAGTAGGTCTTAAGTTGCTTAATGCCGATATAGAATAGTATTTGCTTCACCAAAGTTTGGGTAAGAGAAGAAGAGATGAAGGAAATTATCAGACAGGAGGAAGTCATGAGGTGTGAACCACTTCAGAAATGTTAAGGATAGTGACATGGGGAAAAAAACAATAAATGTCTCACTAGGTCATTTAGTGGTAAAGTACATTTAGTGTTTAGGTGAGGCTAACTTGAGACGAGATAGAGCTTAGAGATACAGACTAGGCGTACAGTAGATTCCACTTTATAGAATTGCTGGTTAATAGAATCAGCCACTTATTCGAATCAATATGGGAAAACCAAAACCATTTGCATATTATTACATGTAAAAATCGCTCCTATTAGAATCACAGTTTTCGGTTTTTGGAATGTTTTACCGAGAAACCTGGGGATTTTGCAGCTTTGTGAGAAGCTCTCTGCAGGCTGGCAGAGTTCCAGCCTGCGGGGGGCCGAAAGGGAGCGGGAGGAGGGTGGTTAGGCAGAGGGCACCATGTGCGTGTATGTGTTATGGCCAGGCCATATGCATTTCCTGGAGCCGTGCTTATGGCTCCAGGCAGTCTGGAGAGCAGCTCTCACAGGTAAATGGGGGGCAGGGGTTGAGCTCCCATAGGGAGAGGTAGGGAGTTGGCTAGGGCTAGGGTCCCAGCAGGGAGTGGAACAGGGCCATGGGCTCAGTAGCTTTGAGGGGCACAAGCCGGCGCCACTGCCCTCACTGCCCACACCTACCCCCACCCCCACCCCGTGCATGGGTCTGGGGGGTGCAGGTCCCCCCTTCCCCTTCGGGAGTGCACTGTGCACTGGGGAGCTGACCCCACCCTCCATACCCAAGCCTGCAGCGGGCCGCAGCAGCAGGTGGGGAGCTGAGCTCCACTCCACTGCAGCAGCCGCTGCCTCCTGCTGGGGGAAGGGGGCTATGGACCTGGGTCCATAGTCCTTGCAGCTGGGGTCCCCTTCTGGCAGAGATTGGGGGCCAGGAGGCTGTGGGTGGGGGTGAGGTGCACCAGTAGGGCTGGAGGGGCTGTGTGGGGTGGTGGGGAGTGAATATCTGTGTTCTTAAAAACAAAAAAACCCCCCAAAAAACGGGTCTCCTTTTAATGAAATCTGCTGGTTAATAGAATCAAATCACCATTTCCCAAAGTGATTCCAATAAAAGGAATCCACTGTAACACCTGTTAGGAATGCCTTTATTTTTCCCCTTATGTAGTAAATCTGGATTCATCTAGGAATATTTGCTCTTCTGCCTTGAACTACAATTCATGCTGCCTAGCCCATTTGTAGACAAACTAAAATAAGAACTCTTAAAACGTGGGTGAAAAGTCCCTTTCCCTAACAAGTTGGCCCCCTACTAGAGGCTTTTTAAAACTTTAGTACTTAAAAATGTTTGGATTAATTTGCTTTCAAATATCAATAAGATTGTAATGCATTTAAATAACCGTGCACTTTATAAATATTTAATCAGCTGCTTGATATACTTTATCTATACTGTCTGGTCATTTGTATCTTTCCTCTGTTTCATTATTACATTTGTTATCAAAATGTATCTATAGCTACATTTATGTTTACGAGTACATTTTGAATTGTACATTTGAATTTGAAATTTTGAATGGGAATTTGAAATTTTGAAAATGTAACATTGTGAATTTTGGTAAAACTAGCTCCTCGGCCATTTCTTGGTGTCAGACTGTATCTAAAAGTCAACAAGTGCTTAACTTCTCAAACTAATATAGCACTGTCAAAGTTGTCTGGAAGCTTTTTAGAGTATTTTCCTGACTTTTGATCGCTTTTGATTTTTTTCCAAAGATTTACTTCGTTTGAAGCACTTGATTCCAGTGGCTTCTTCTGGGCATATTTCTCTGTCTTAGTTTTGTAGATTTTTACTGAAATTTAAGCCCAGTTTCAAGTTACTAGCTTCAAATGTTTTTTTGACATGTGTGTTCTTTATGGAGATGCATTTTTTTTCCCACAATAAAATGATCAAATAAATTCAGATTTTGAAGGTCGCCACACACTAGAGGCTGGGTGATGACTGCAAACATGGCAAGGTGTCTGGGGCAGCTGCCACACCCAGAGCAGCAGCAACCTCCAGTTGCCACTACTAGCACAATTTGTGCAGATGCAAAAACTGGCAGCTGTTTTGTTTTTTTTTCTTGTGCCTTCACCCCTGTCTCCTCCCCACAAGTCAGGGGCAGCTGCCATGGTTGCCCCACCCTAGTTACACCACTGCTACCCACACTGAAAAAAAACAAACATTTACCCATGCAGGTAACATCTTATTCTTAAAGGGGGGGTAATAGGAATGGCTTGAAATGGGAATTTATACTCGGACTCAGTTTTTATTAAGTGTAGGTAATTCCAGTATTCTTGCAAGTAAGGTATTGATAAAAGCAAAGAGAGCCAGGTGTGGAGAGAGTAGGGGTGCCGCGATAGAGATTTTTGGGGGGCCGATACTGATAGCTGATTTTTAAGGAGGCATATTGGCCGATACCGATCCGATTTCTGATGCACAGCCCGGCAGCTTGAAGAGCAGTGTCCAGCTGGTAAGCCTGTTGTGGTGGAAGGGGAGAGGGGAGGGGACAGGTGCTGCCCAGCCAGGGCGGGGAGCGGTGCTGGACAAAGCCCCGGGGGGGCGCGGGGAAGGGGGCGGCTCCCACTGCTGCGCACACCCTGGGAGACCATCATGCGGGGCAGGATGGGCTGCTGCTGCAGGCTCAGGCCAGGGCAGCGCCAGGCTCTTCCCAGCAGGGGGGCTGGGCCAGGCTGTGCTCGGGGCGGGTGGCAGCGGCTCTGGGAGGGAGGCTGCAGGGGAGCTGCAGCTACCCCAAAATTTGCTGTAGCCTCCCCAACCCCCCATCCGAGCTCTGCCACCCACCACAAGCACAGCCCAGCGCAGTCTAGCCTCTCACTGGGAAGAGCCCAGTGCAGTCTTGGCCCCAACCTGCAGTGGCAGCCTGCCCTGCCTGATGCAGATCTGGGGCATGTGCCCTCCTGGGGTGCACACAGAGGCAGGAGCCACCTTCTCCTTCCTGCGCCCCCCAAGTAAACCGTGGCTCCATCCCGCTGCCCTGCCCTGTCTAGGCAGTGCCTACCCCTGCCCCAGCCCCACTCCCTTCCACACCATGGGGGCCTCGATCTTCTCCCCCGCCATGCATCCTCCCTCCCCTTCTACCACAACAGACTTACCAGATGGATGCAGCTCTCAAGCTGTTGAGCTGTGCTTCTCACTGCCTACGTGCTATGCTGCAGGTGTGCGCATGTACAGGGCATTTATCAGCCATGTTATTGACCACAGCAGGCAAAAAAAAGCCAATTTCTGATACCGTCAATTTTCTTTGTCAGTGCCAATCCGATATCAGACCGATGTATCAATGCACCTCTAGCAGAGAGAACACTACATCTCTGCTTAGGATAGCACAGACTGGAATTGTGTCATCTGCTACCTTTGCCATGCGTAAATCACAGATATCCAAACCCAGAAATTAATTCTCATTAGGAGCCTTCCTGTCTGGTCAAGGGCTAGAATATTTCAGCTGCGAGTTCTTTATTAACATGCTTGCCCTGTCTGTCTCTCCCTTGCAGGGATTTACATCCTGATTGCTGTTGGTGCAGTGATGATGTTTGTGGGGTTCCTGGGATGCTATGGCGCTATTCAAGAGTCACAGTGCCTTCTGGGAACGGTAAGAGACAAACTTTGAACACCCTGTGACACCAGGCAGATCTTCCCAAGGCTCAACAAAGTTAGTCGTTGAAAGCTGGACTGAATGGTGCTCAGGGAAGTGCCATGTAGAGGAAGACTGCCATACTGGCACGTGGATATAACTAGTGAAAGCTCTAATTTTCTGTGAAGATGATGGGAATTTAACCCTTCGAGTACTGCCTCAAAGGGTGTAGAGCTCATTTTGTTATCTGAGCACAGGTACATTCTCCCTGAATACCTCTTACCTCACCCCCAAGCCTTTTAGAACAGACATTCCCTGTGAGTTTTGGCAGCAGAATCTTTATTACACTCCAGTTGCCCTTAAAGCTTGTATTGGGCAGTTCTGCACTAGCAACCAGAAAGCTGAGGCTGCTGGTACATACCAGCAAGCCACTGTTTTAATCCCTGGCCTAAAGAAAGGAGCAGGAGCCAGCAGTGGAATAGGAGGATGGAGGTAGCAGGCTTCATGGATATTCATTCTCCATCCATTTTAGAATGAGTTGTCTGACTGCATTTATTACTCCCGATCAAAGTAGCCTCCAGAATGCTGGAAATTGGTCTCCACTTGACATCTGACTATGGATAATGCAACTTGCTTAAGAGTGACCTAGTTGTGACCTAACTCGAGGCAGGAAAAGTAGCAGTAGACCTTCTAGCAGTATTGTAATACGGATGTTGGGTAAATGCTGGGAAATCCTTTATTCAAATATAACAGGTATTGTTGGCTTGAGCCAAGGACTCAGATTCTTGGCAGGTTTTATTCTTCACATTTGAACATACTGCACAGGGAGCTCCAGGCCCACAGAGTGTTCTTGTCTCCACTCATCTTTCCCTCTGACCTTCCTCTTCCTGTCTGTCAGCTATGGAAACACGGTAAGGATTTAATGTCTAAACCTTGCCTAAGTGTTTTAGATGCATGGGAAGCCATTACCACTTCTTTCTTTTATACTTACTCCCTTATGCATCTACCAAAAGAGGAAGCTTCATAGTAGAGTCCTAGTGAAAAAAAAAAATTGGAGATCTCTTAAGAGATTGACATAAGCAAATCTTAATACTTGGAGAGGAAGTTTATTTTGGATCACTTCCCAAAAAAAAATAAAAATTAGGTGTCCAGCTTCCTGTATCTGCAAATAGACTATTCCCTAACATATTCAGCCCATTCTTTTGGCATGTCGGCACTTCTACAATCTAGATCTGCAATGTCATTAGAAAATGAAAAATAAGAGAGGAAAGCAGGAACTACCTCAAATTTCTTTGAACTTCCAAATCTCAGTCTGCATTCAATCCAGTGCTGTAATGGACTCTAGTTGGAGAATTTCCAATGCTCGAGTGTCTCTCTGGATTTCCTGAAGTACTCCACAGTGCACTTTGAGATGTATGGGGGGTATTCTTTGTATTCTGGGGAAAGAAACCAGTTCTACTTTGAGCCCACCCCCAGGTGCCGTCTCTTAATTTGTGTATGTCCTCAAAAAAGCACAGGGAAGGCCTCCGTTTAGCAGGAACAGGGCAGTCCCAGTGGCTTAAAAATGAGTTCCATCCTTGAATGCAGTAGGCTAGACTTCAGTCTATTAAGCCAAAGGAAAGGTGTTTTATGAGAATCTACAAGCAAAGGATTAAAAACTAAAGGGTAGTAGTTTTAGGGAAGACCATTTTAAATGAGGATTCCCACCCTTATTAACTTGATTACTTCCCACTCAACCCTTACAAGAAGCCTATTTCAAATGTATTCCAGTGGCCTGGGCTTTCAGCTCCTTACCTCCATTAAAAAGGCAATATTGTGTCTGATTTACCACTTACACAGTTGGTAGTGCATACTTTATAAGAGCACAGCTGTGGGGGGGAGCACAGACAGATAGCCTGGCCATTGCTTTGGGAACCTGGCTGCAGGCTTTCATCCGAGCAACAGGCTGGGAGCTGTGCAGACACAAGTTACAGAAGACAAAAGATGTTACATTTTGTAACATCTTTATCTGATCCTTCACACCAGGGGTCAGATTTTCACCCAATCGGCCATTTTTAAAGCTGTTTGCAGCCATGCACTTGTGTTTGGTCACAGCTATAAACTGCTTTCTGTGGCCAGATCAGGGAAAAAATTGTCACTCCTGTCTGCACTCTAATAATAGCATGACTTAATACTTTTTACTATTAAACTTCAATCCATTTCTTATATTACATTCCACAAAATTTTCTCAATCCTCCTGTATAATAATTCAGTCCTTTTCTGCAAAGCAGTTTGCACCATTGTTAGTGTCATCTGCAAATTTTTTAAAGGTACTTTTAAGTCCAAGGTTGCTGATAAAAAGGTTAAACAGGACAGGCTCTAAGAGCAAACCTTGAAGAACATCACTAGATGTTGTGGTCAAATACATATTTATTTGCATACCACTTACACCTTTTCCACAAAAATCAGCCCTCCAAAATAGAGGGGTGCTTCTTAAGCAGGGTGGGGGTGGGGGGAATTATTCCTGCTTGGGGACACTAATGGATGCCATCACAACCACAGTTTTTAACTCTTTCACAGCTGCTGCCAAATTGACAGTAGCTTTTGATTGAGCAGCCAGGCTGAGCAGTGAAGCTGAAGAATGTACTCTGTTCGTGCAGTCAGCATTCAGCCATGACTCTGGGGGGAAAAAAATATTTCATTCTGCCCTAGCAAAATAAGGTTTGTGCTTTTATTTCAGTTGGGAGGAGGCACATGTGGTATGCAAGAAAATACAGCAACTTTCCTTTCAAAATAATCTGTTGTAGTCTCCCTTCGAGCCAACTGATTCCTTATCCACCTCATAATTACAGCATCAATCCCTGTCCTTTTGAGTTTGGCCAGTAATTTCCCACGAGGCACAGTATCAAAAGCTTTGCTTAGATCTAGATAAATTATGTCCACTGCATTGCTCTTATTCAAGAAATCCATTATCTTGTCATAGAAGGATATTAAACTAGTCTGACACAGTTATTCTCTGATAAACCCATGTAGTGTTTTGTCCCATTTTCCATTTCCTTCCGCATCTGTACCCATTCTTTCCTTTGGCACCTGTTCTAAGATTTTACCCACTGGTGTCAGGCTAACAGATCTGTAATTGACTGGCTCATTCTTTATCCCTTTTATAAAAATTTAGGCACTGTATTTGCTATTTTCCAGTCATAGGGGACTCCTAGAGTTGATAGGATGGAGCAAGTACCTTCCCTGTTACCTCTTCCTGATCATGTAGGTGGTTGGCAAAAGGATACAGGGAAAGGGGTAGGGCCTGAGACTCAGCCAGCCAGCCAGGGCTTGGCTCAGGCTAACTTTCCCTCCTGGAGCCTTTGAGGTATGTGAGGCTTGCAGGGGGCTGGAGGCCAGCTGGGGACCCCCTCCAGCAGAGCTAGGGTAGGGAGGTAGGGGGCTGTGGGTTGGGGATGGGGGGCACCAACAGGGCTGGAGAGGGGGGCTGTGGAAAAAGCCTGTGGGCTGGGTGGGTGGGGCAGGGGTGTGTGTATGAGGG